AGCACCGAGCAGGAGGGGGCAGAAATAACGGAGCTATCTCCTCGAGGAGAGCGACTGGGATCGCATCCCACCTGAGGTGCACGAGCCGGGACACAGGTTTTAGTCTGCCACCGATTTGCTGCAGGACTCTGTGCAGGTGACTGCACCCTCGGTGTCTGGCTCCGTGGCCCACGGGCAGCAGGTATCACCCACAAACCCAGCTTCACGTGGGGCCTGGGGCTCGACCCAGGAGGTTTCTCAGCCTCTGAGGAGCTGGGGGTTATGGCAGCTCCTAAATCACAGCCGGGCTCTGCAGCCCACCATGGGCTGCTGCCCAGCCCTGACCCTTGGCTGAGCTCTCGGCGGCCGCCGGCACAGCCCAGGACCACAGGGCTTGCCGGGAGGCCCTGGGCGACACCGGCAAGCTGGGCACATTCCTCCCAGCTGATGATTTACTCAAAAATATTTCTGAGGTCAGCCCTCCTCAGGGGAAACACTCCCAAACGCTCTGCGAGAAGCTGCTGAGTCTGGAGTAACCCCACGCACCGCTCGCTCAGCCAAAAAGTCACCCCGATGACTAGCCCTGGCGTCAGAGGGACTGAGGCCGAAGTGCTGCCGTTTGATCTCCCCCTTTGCTGAGGGAAGCCGAATTTCAGGCCACTGCAGGGTTTTCACCACTTCCCGGTAGCGGTTTCCTGCCGTGATGTCAGCGCAGGCATTTTTGGGAGGTGAAGTCAGAGGCTGCAATGAGAACCACCTGGCCGGGCTGCGGGCGGCAGGCTGGGAGGCTCCATCCCGATCCCGGGGCAAGTGGGATCCCCGCCGCGATGCTCAGCACCCGCGGGCAGCATCCCTGCGGCACAGTTACTTATGGGGGACACAGCGTCCCACCACAGCCCGCCGTTTCTGGCCTGGGTAAGAAGAAGGATTTGCTGCCACAGCTCCCACGGCTCCTCTTTCCGTGCCGGGCTGGGATCGGCGTGCTCCGGCCACCCCACCCGGGCTCCGGGGAGAAACTGGGTAAAGGAGAAAGGGCAAAACTTCACCCAGCTCTGCAGGAAGCTGCCTGCAATGGCTGTCCTGCCCCGGCGCCGCGTTGGCCCCATGGAAGAAACCGCCCCGAAGCCCCCCGGCGTGCACAGGGCAGCGCCGAGGCTCTGGTTCTCCCCGGGGAGAGATGTAGGTCTTGGCAGAGCTGAGAAACTGCCCTCCTTGGTCGCTGAAATTCAACAAATAAAGCCGGTTCCTGGTAAAGGAGCCTCCCAGGTTTTCCCTGCTGAGCTTTACCATTTTTTGCTATTAAAAATGCACGACCCCCTGCCCACCCCCTCCAACATTACTCAAACCCCTCTGCTCAGCAAATAACTGCATCGCAGCCAGCGAGTGAGGCTGAGCCTGGATAAGCCTTTTCAGAGGAGCTAAACCTGCTTAAAGCCGGCACTGTTCCCTGACCCACCCTCCTAATCCTGCCCGGCTGATAATGAAATAATAAAGGACTGCAAAGCCTTGCTCCCCGCGCGCTGTGGGGGAGGCTTCTGCTGCCTCTGTACCCACCAGGAGACGCGATATTAATTACTCCCTAAGTAAACAGAATTGCTTCTTTCTTCTCCTTTGCCTGGCTGTAAAACCAGGCGTGACCGTCAGCCCGCAGAGGAGAGAAGCCAGAAGTCACTCCCTTTTCCAGGAGAAAGGTTGGTTATTGCAGCGATAACAGCGGCGATCTCTGCCCGCTGCCCTGCCCGGGCTCGTCTCAGAAACACGAGCGCGGGGTGGGTTTGGGGCAGACATTGTCAAGCCCCTCCGCGGCGACCGCATAGAGATGCCGCCTGGGGCCTGCTGTGCCGGCGGCTGCCCCGCAGCAGAACGCGCAAACTCATTGCATCTCAGCCCCAGCAGCTGGGAAAGTGAGGGGAGGTGACAACACGGGCAGGATCCGTCCCCTGAGGCTGGGATGGCTCTGAGCGCCCTGCAGGGCAGCAGGATGAGGACCGGAGGATGGGGCTGAGGGACCCGGAGGGCAAAGCAGGGGCTGAGGGCGCTCCAAGAGCCACAGTGGCAGCCCCAGGCTGCGCCGGGGCTGCCGGGTGGGAAGGGGTTAAACAGCCCTGCCTTCTCCGGCACACCTGAACGGCATGGCAAGCCAGGAGGGAAGGGCTTTAAAAGAGGAGGGCAGCAGCAAGCCCCTTCCCCAGGGGCCTGGGAAGGAGCCGGCGGGAGGCTGAGTGCCCTGCGGAGGTGCTGTGCCACGGCCCCACACCGTGGGGTCTCGCTCCCCACCCTCGGGGCACGAACCCCCCTTGCCCTCCCCTGCCTGGGTGCTGTCCCTGTCCCTTGGGGCGTCCCAGCTCCCCCAGGAGCTGCCATTTTTCTGGTGGGTGCAGGAGGGACCTCGGGAAGCAGCCAGCTTCCTACGTCCCAAAAATACTCTGGTTCCCCCCCCCGTTTTTCCCCAGCTCCTTCCTTTTGAAGGACAAAGCCAGCAACTTGTGACAAGTGAAGGGCAGCAGCGTGGATGTTGTGACCGCTGTCAAGCGAATGTGCCCTGCCGGGCAGCAGCGACCGTCCCTGAACGCGGACCGGCAGGCGTGGCCAAGGGCCAGCGCGGCCGGGGTTGGGGTGGCCGTGAGGGGGGATCGGGGCTGCCTGGTGAGCGGGCGCTGCCGCTTCATCCCAAGCCGCAGGGCTGTTGCCAGCCTGAAGGCCAGACCAGCCTCGCGTGCCCGGCTGCGCTGCCCTCTCGGAGCGCATCCAGGCAGCTGATGCCGTTAGCTCTTGCCTCGCCTTGCGTTGGGGAACAAGTGGGGATGTGGGAGTCGAGCTGGAATCGCCCCTGCCGTGACAAGGCATGGGTGAAGGACCTGCAGGGGACAGAGGGGACCAGGAGAGGAACCAGGACCCGGCAAGGATCATCCACGGCTTTGGTGGCAGCCAGCTAGAGGCGAGGTGCCTGGTGCCGCGCTGGGTCTGCCCCCGCAGCCAGCGAAGGGGGTGAGGGCCGCGCCGCGGCCCCCGTTGCCCTGCCGGCGCAGCCGCTGCCATGTAAATCCCGACCCCGTCCGGCTGCAGCACGCGCCCCTGCAGCCCGTCGCTGTGCTGGTGGCTGGTTCCGGCAGGGCCGCGGCTGCGATGGGGGATCCCCACCGAGCCCTGTGGCCTGATCCTGCTGTGGGAGCAAACTGGGAGGCTGCCAAGGTGAAGGGGGGACTCTCCTGGCTTGTACACCAGGTCAGTAACCGCGGGGCTGGTCCTGGGCGATCGTGGAGGGAGATGTAGGGGTGGAACCGCACCACAGGTACGGATACACGTCATCAGGAGCGGTGAAGGGAGACAAAGCTTTTCACCCGTGTGGTGCACAGAGGGGACCCCGATGCTTTTTTGTCTTGTTTGTATTGAGGATGCTGCATCTTAACAAAGGCTGGAGAGAAACAATCTTTAATGAAGTGTTCGGCGGAAGGGCGCTGACGGTGATGCTGCAGCCCCCAGCGAAACGTGGAATGTTTCTGGCAGGAGCTGTCGCCAGAGGCACCACTGCGGTCACGTCCCCAACCCCGAGCAGCTGGCACGCACCGGAGCAGCCCAGCAGTGGGAGAGATGTAGGGGTGTACGTCCTCCATGTCCTGAACGAAGCCCGCTGCGACCTCCCCGCTCTTGGCTGGGAGAACACAGGGCAAGGGATGACGATCTTACACATCGGCGTAGAAAACTGCCGGGGAAAACCTCTCCCTCCAGGGCAAACGAAGCAATGCGGGGCAATGGTGGTGATGAAATTAATACCGTTCGTTTGCCTTCCCTGCGACGTAAAGCGCGCTCTCTGGGCTCGGAAAGTCAGCGCAGAGCTCTGCCAGATGGGCTGGAGCAGAATTTTTCCGCTTAGAGGAGCCTGCACCCAACTTTGTCCTCACATCCGAGGAGCCCGGAGGACCTCGGAGAGCCCGACAGTGAGTGTTCCCTTGGGAAACGGTGCAGAGGCCGGGTTTACTCCAGCAGCACCTCCTCAGGGCCCCCGTCCCACCGCCATGACGGCACTGGGGTGCTTAGGGGAGCCCCAGGCCCAGAGCGAGGCCTGCGGCCTGGCTGACAGAACCCCTCTGTGGGGCTCCGGGAGGGCTCAAGCTTAAGTCCTATGGGGCGGGAGGGCTCAGGACCTGAGGCCTCCCGCCCCGCCTGCCATAGAGCAAAGCTAGAGCGCCGCCGCAGCGCTTCCGTGGGAGCGGCCGCCATCTTAGGCGCGGGCAGCGAAGCGGCAGCATATGAGGCCGTGCCTCGCACCGCCGGGCAGAAGGGGAAGGTGGTCGCGTTGTTAGCCGCACTCGGGAAGCGGGCGGTTCAACACCCCGCGAGGAGGGAGAGTTTACGCCGTTCTCACGCCTTCTCCTCAGGTACCGGCGCTGTTCAGGCAGTAGGTGAGACCCCTCTCTCGCTGTGAGCGGAGAGCGCGGCCGCTGTGCCCTCAACTAAGATGGCAGCGGGGGCGGTCTCTCCCCGCGGAGAAGATGGCCGCCGAGGGGAGCGGCGCTCTAGCCGGGTGGCGGAACTCGCTTGGCCGGGTGAGGGGAAGCGGGAGGGGACCCCCACCACAGAGACCCCCCCACACCACGGGGACCCCCTAACCCACCGCAGGGACCCCCTCCAGCTCTGCTGCCTCACAGGGAAACCCCCTTAGTCCCCCCTCTTCCAGCCTTCCCGCGCCCCCCTCAGCTCACCCCCACCTTCTCCAGCCAAGGGAGCCCCTCTCTCCCTTGCTCCCCCCCTCAATTTTGGGGGTCTTCCCTCCCCTGCTGCATGAGGTGCCTCTGGGTGAGGGTTTGGGTTGGGGTCACCCGAGGCCTGGGTCCTGGGGGGTGCTCTGCACACACACACGCCCCCCCCCAGGCTGGTGCTGCTCCATTTTATTTTAATAGCCGTATTTCCCACCTCCCCTGTATGCTTTGCCACCGGAGTGGACCAGCAAGCCCACGGGTAGCGGAAGGGTTCCCCTCCTCCTCCTCCCCACCCCTTAAGGGGCGGTGATCGTGGCGGAGAGGAAGAAAAGGATGCCACGGAAGCTGTTGTTGCCTTATAAATCTGTTTTTTCTCACTTTCGAGCTCCACGGGGGTCGCATGACTCTTTGGCGATGAACGCAGCCAGAAGTGGCTACCGGGTCTTCTCGGCCAACTCCACGGCAGCCTGCACCGAGCTGGCGAAGAGGATCACGGAGTAAGTTCCCTCTCTTTCAAGTTTCTTTTCGCCGCGCAGAGCTCCTCCGAGCAGGCAGGCTTCCTTCAGAGCGGCTGGAGAGGCTTGTGGCGTCCTCCCGCCTTCCCAAGCCAAAGGTGTCTGCTGCGAACACCTTTGCCGCAGAGGTTTTGCGCTGGGAGCGTTCAGCAGCTCTGCCCTTCTCCTCGGCGCCGGCTCATCCCTCCCGAGAACTCAGTTTGACCCAGCGATGAAAACGCACCGGCTGCTTTCCGCCTTTCTCTGACATCCATTTCAGTGCTGAAAAGGCTGGATTGCAGCAATGGCTGTTACTTCTGGGGAGGGAGAAGGTGAGACTTGGCTGAACAAACCTCAGAAAGTCTTTTAACTGTTTTGGGAGATGGTCAGAACTTTCTGCGCTGCTTTTCGTGGGGACGGGCTGGCGACCTGGTGTGCCCGACGGCTTCGCTGCTTGGGCCGCGGGGAGCATTGCCTGCGTGGACCTCGGTGCAGCACCAGCAGTTGCACTAACCAAAGTGGATTAGTGAATCTGCATTTTGGTGGGGTAGGAGAGGTGGGCAACGCATGCTAACAAAAGAGTTTAGTTTAGGCGTGGAAGCGTGCCCCTTTTTTTTTTTTTTTTTCAGCCTATCGATTTGGGCACAGTTTGACCTTGACTTGGCAGGGATGGATGCGCTGGGCCCTGCTGAAGGAGGTGTGTAACAGCTGCCTCCAAAATGGGTTTCTTACTGCACAGAGGAGCACTGACTTTACCCTGACACTTGATCTTTTGCTTTGAATTAGTTTGGTTCAAATCGGGGCGCTCCCAGCTGAAGGGGCTTTTCTGAGACAGACATCTGTGTATTGGGGAGCTGTCATCCTAAAGCAGGGTTTGGGATTCCTTTCTGCTGCTTCTCAGCTGCAGTTCATAGGAAGCTGCTCCCAAAATCGAGGGGGCTCAGTGCTCGTTTGCCTGCCGCAGCAGATAACATCCTTGATGCCCCTTAGGCAGCTGCTGGCCCGTTCCTGTCTCCAAGGGTGTGCTTAAATTGGAAACATTACTAAATACAGGTGTGCTGCCACCTTAAACTGGAAGAACATTTCGCTGTTTGCCCAGCTAGCTTATAAACAGTGCGTTCAATCCTTAGTGCAGATTATCTCCACGAAGCTGACTTGGCTGTTTGGCTGGGATCGCTGGTGTTGATGGGATGAGTGTTGGACAACAGTGATGGACTTCTTCAGGTGTGAGGCGGAGAGGGAAATCCTTGTGTTTGGTTCATGTATTTTTGCTATATTTGGTCAGTTCCATATTACTTTCCCTTCACCGATACAACTCTGAAAATAAAGTAATAAAGTCTCTCTATATAAAAAAGTAAGTAAGTTTTGCTGCAACAGTTGGGACATGGTTTTACAAGGCTTGTCCTGTTGCGTCAATGCAGAACGTAATGGAAGTCCCCTGGGGACGAGCTCCAAGTTCTCAGGACTGAAAGAGCAAATGGGCAATCTTCATTCTCTGCTCTTTGTCTTAAAAATAACTCACTTGTTTTTTTAAAGCTGTAATGAGAAGGGACGCGGAGCAGGCTTCCCCAGGCTGCGGCGCACACAGCTGGCTGTGTGACGTGCTGCTGTAACCCTCTGCAGGCTTCCCAGTGATGCTCTGAGGGTGAAGGACAGCAGGATCCAGAGAGCAACCTCCTGGCTGTCCTTCGCGAAGTAAGCTTTTAACGGAGGCGATGGGGGCTTTTTGCACGTCAGTGGGGAAGTTGGATACTCCGGTGGTGGTATGAGCATGACAGTGTGATGCTCAGCTACTGCTTAAACTGAGGCTTAAGGACGCATAGCTTTACTGTCTGTAAAATGGGAGTAGTGACCACTCTGAAATGGAAGGGCGTGAAGCATTATATGCAGATGAGGTTTTGTTGGAGCGGGGTGCAAAATCTGGAACCATTAACAGTATGGATTTGCCCACAGTAAAAAGTCTCCCAAAAATAAAGGTATTTTCAGTATCTCGCGCGGTGGTTTTGCACTGACTTGCCCGTAGGAGCTCAGGGGCTGTTTCAACATGTTTGTAATACATCCCTTGTTTTTTCAGGTCGCAAAAGATGCGCGACTGCTGGCTTTCCTGCTGTCGCATCCCAGCCTGTACTTTGCTGGGGAGGTCAGTTGCGCCTTTTAATAGAATTGGAGCAGTCTTATAAGGGTGAGTCCTCTAATATTGTGCGTTCTTTTTAAAGTTTTTTTATGACCTTTAGTGTGAGTAGTAAAAGAACTTTAAAACAACACGCAATATTAGGAGTAGGGCCCCTTGAGACACTTGCCCATCTAGGCTCTGTTGCTCTTTGCCTGTAGGTATGACGTTAAAATCGATACTTGAGGAGTCCTGGCTTATCCTTTTTTGAAATCTCAAGCCTGGGGAGGAGCAGTGTGACATAAATCAGACATCTGAAAGCTGTTCAATCTCCTCACTTCATTTAGTGCAAAACTTCCAGAGTTGCTTTCGATTCAGGCTCTGAGCACGGCTTTCTGGCACGCTTCCGATCTTTACAATTTCCCATTGTGCATTGTTGTCTGGTTGTAGGATGAGTGACTAAATGGTTAGTCGAACTTTCACTTTGAGTTGTCAGAGCTTTTGTTTATGTTAGCGTCTGCCAGGGAGAGGAGATGGTGCTGGCTTGTGAGAATCAAATACCTTGTGAAACTTTCAATAATAAAGATGCTCCTTAGATTCAGGATCACTGAAACATAAATAAAACCATATGTTTACTTGTATCTTATAAACTGAGAGGGATTTTTTTTTTTAATTCTATCCCAAATGGAAAGAAAACTCCTGCTGTAATTAGGACACTTGGCACCTGATTACAAGCTGCATTTGCAGGGGAGAAAGAGAATTTCTGTGATCAGTGCTGATCCCCAAAGGGCCTTGTGTGCTGCTCGGGGGAGGGAGGTCTAGCAAGTCTTTTTGATCTCTGGAGTCCAACAGATGCATTTAGATCTCCCTCTGACTGCAGTGTTTGGCACAGAGGGTACAAATACTGCATTCCACTCGCCCTTGTGTGTTTGGGTTGGAGGGGATCGCTGACTGAAGCTTGCTGATGCCTCCCCAGTGCTCCTGCAGGTCTCTCTTATGTGGGACGTGGTACTGTCGTAAACTCATTGCAGCCTGCGGGATGTGAGTGTTCTAGACGTTCGTTTGGTTTGCAGCATGGAAGGTGCTGGTGATCTAAAGATAAAAGCAATGCTGTGAGCCCAGACAACGCGGAGTAGTGAGGAAAAGATGGAGACTTGTGTTCTGATCTCTGGTCGTAGGGAGCTGGGTAAGGAGCACTAAAACCAGGGTGGTGGTTTCTGTGAATGAGTGGGAGGTGAGCCCTGCTTTCGGAAGAGAGAGTATGTTAGGAGGACTTGCAGCAACCTCCCTCGGCTGAAGGACAATTTCTGGTGGGATGGAGGAAGAGTAATGCCAGCCTCCCTCATTAGGCCATCTTGCCAGCGTGTGAGGGGATGGCACAGGGGAGTCAGACCACAGTAACCTTGTGCTGCTGCTCTCCCCCGTCTCCAAACCCTGTTCTTGCCTTCTGGAAAGAGCTCTTGTGTGGTGCTACGGGAGGAGAGGAGGTGGCACCAACTCTTTTCCATCTCAGAAGGTGCAGCACTGTGGCAGGAGGCTAACAGATATTACGGGGTGAAACTGCATCAAAGGATTTTGGAAAGGGAAAAGAATAACCAAGTAAAAAGTAGTGTTGTTGGAGAGGTTACAGGTGGGGGACAGTGCTGGAGTAGTGCGAGCGTGGAGCAGTTGGGCTTTGAGATTTTCCATGCAGCTTAGATGGAGCATGTAATGTGGCTGAGTAAATCGGCTTTGCGCGGTGGTTTTCTGTGCTGGCCAGCACCAGGCCTAGGGCAGGTTCCTTCACGAGGAGCAGACCGGTAGGACTAGAGGAAAACCTGCGTGGTGTTTGCAGTGGTTCAGCTTTGGCATGGCTGGAACAGATGATGCAAGTGCTGGATGGCTCCGGGTACAAGTGGCGGATGAGCAGCAGGGACTGTTCTTCAAGTGTCCAGTCATGCCGGGTGGATGGAGAGAGGTAAAGGAGAGCTCAGATAGTTATAAGGGCATCTACACAGGGATATGGCCTTGTATCCAGGAAGCTGCTGTTTCCTTTCCCTTTCCTGGCTTGTTCTTGAAGTGGGAGATTAGGAAATACACCGCAGAGCTGCCACTGTGCTAGCTGGACCAGTTGACTGATCTTTATTTAAAGAGTTTGAAAAGCAATTCAAAGTCAGGCTGTGGCTTGCTTTCAATTGTAGAATCATAGAATTGTTAAGGTTGGAAAAGGCCCTTAGGATCATCGAGTCCAGCCATTAACCCAGCACTGCCAAGCCCACTGCTAAACCATGTCCTCGAGCACCACGTCTACCAGTCTTTTAAATCCCTCCAGGGATGGAGACTCAACCACTGCCCTGGGCAGCCGGTCCCAGGGCCTGACAGCCCTTTCGGTGAATAAGTTTTTCCTAATATCCACGCTAAACCTTCCCTGGCGCAGCTTGAGGCCGTTCCCTCTCGTCCCATCGCTTGTTACTGGGGGGAACAGACCGACCCCCACCTCGCTACAGCCTCCCTTCAGGTAGTTGTAGAGAGCGATGAGGACTCCCCTCGCCACGGTCCAGCACGAAGCAGATCCTCTGCTGTCAGCTCCAGCTCCTTCTGGAGTCTGCAGTGGTTCGTGGAGGCTGCAGGTGTGGGGAGAGTAGGTATCTGCAGAGCTGAGACCAGTGAAAGTGTAATGAAGAGGATACTGCCAAAATAAAATCATATCATAGTCAAGGGCTTTGTCCATATGCAGATTTCTCTTCAAATTGAATGTTTGCACTGCGAGCTGGCTGGAAGCTTCCTTCGGAGATAACTTTACAAATGTCTTTTAGGTGCTTGTCACAGAGTGGGAGAAGGAAACGCAGCCCGGGCTGAGAACCCTTCCCAGCAGTACTGAAACATGCTTTGATGGCATGAAATACTGCAAGTGCGCTTGCCTCTTGAATTTTGATTCAGCTAAACGTCAAGTCTCTTAAGTGACTGTCCTTTGTCTTGAGAGCCTGGTACGGTGGTTTTCGACAGTCTTCAGAGGAGCATTTTAAAGTACAGTCTAATACAACCTCATAGTGTTTCCTAAAATACTGCAGTGTGTCACTTCCTCATTAAACTATAGGTGACTTCTGAGCTGTTCGTATTTAGGCTGTGAATTTGAGACAGATTTTATATACACTCTTGCATCCATAGCTTAATATCCTCTTGGCATGTGTTGAGACTGCGGAAAGTTAGATCATCTTTCCTGGGCAATGTTTATAGAGAAATTCCAGATCAATATAAACTTTTACTGGTCTGAGTAGGATTTTGAAAGCCATAAAGAGAATTTTTCTCTTCGATGCTATTGGATCCTGGAGAAGTCGGTTTAGTGGCGGAGCTGGTGCGAGGGCGGCAGGGCGGAGCGGAGCAGGGCTTTCCCCATCCGGAGCAGAGCGTGGTCACGCAGGGAAAGCTTACACTGAGGTGGCGTTAGAAACTGTGGGAGCAGCCTGGGGCAGTAATACCTTGGTCCGCTGTGCCCAGCCCTCTGCACTGAGCCTGGCAGGACTGTATGTGCACAGCTTTTTTAAAAGACCCCAGTTCTGAAGACTGCTGCTTTTAAAAACAAAAACGCCACCAAACTGGGTTTCCGTCTCTCTTGGACGGAGAAGGGAGCTTCCAGAAGTGAACTTCTCCTCTGATGTCTGCTTGGCACTGGTTAGCAAGTGAGATTTCTGCAAATAGCGTTAATTCAGCCTGACCGTTCTCCAGCCTTAAACACTTCAGTATCAGCAAAAGCCCTCACCTGCCTGTAGCCAAATCCAGCACCACACAGCAGGCCTTTTGTCAATGGAGCTCATTTTGCTTGGAGATGTGATTTACCTACAGGACCTAAAGTATTATTTTTGCCAGAAGGAGCTGTATCTCTCTGCGGGGGCGTGAGCTGCCGCTGGAGGTAACCCAGAGCATTTTCTTTCCTCATGTAGATCTCGTGTCTGCAGACAAGTGATCCGGTAATTGTGATAGCCCCTGCTCGTACGGTTATGCTGTTAGTCCTGAAGCTGAATGCAGAGTCCTTGCTGTCGGTTTAACTCCTCTGTTGCCTAAAGCAACAAGCAATTGGGAACTTCTGCACGGGGAGGATTTAGAGAGAAAAGAGCTGGGGATGGAGGGAAAAAAGGGAGAGGTGACGGAGAGGGGGAATTTATCTTTGGACTCTGTTACAAGTGGTTGCTCGTGGGCTGCGTGGTGGCTAAGGCTGTGCTCTGCCCTTGACTTCTGCGTAAATCTCCCTTTTGACACAAGTCCCATGGAATTCGGTGTTTTACAACAGGAGCTGCACAAACAGTGCCCTCTTTAATTGCCTTGGCTAAATCAAGGTTTTATCAGATTCCTGCACTGGCTGAAGTCTCCGCTTACGCAAAACCTGCAGAAAGGGATTTAGTGGCAGGTGTGCCCCTTGGGTAAACATACCTGAGCTGCTTTGGTGGAGCTGCCCGTCGGTCCGTCTGCCCTGCCTGCAGCTTGCGGGGCTGCAGAGCGCTGCAGGCAGGGTTGATGTATGACTTTTTATGGGCAGGTTTATCTCGTATCCTTCCCATCGCCACCCCTCTTGTTTACTTGCAGTCAACAGTTGGAGCAGAGATGGGATTTATTGTCTGACCAGAGGAATCTTCTACCACTCATTCCTTTAAGTTGGCTGCTGCTTAGTGTCTCTTCTGCTGCTGTCTGCACCCAGGTTTGACAAGCTGAGCTGTTCAGTGTCCCTCCTTCCTTTGGGGAGAAAACTCGCCTTTCCGATTTCTTGTTTTGTCAGCACAGAAACTGCATTGCTGCTGTACGATCGGAATAGGGGACCACTGGGCTCTGGTTTCTTCTTGCCAGCTGCATCCTCGCAGAGTGTCACAAACCTTTGCTGTGTTTGTTCGCCACCTCTTAGCATTGGAAGTGCCACCCTCCAAGGGGTGTTTTGCTGAGATGGGTCCAGCTGGACTGTTTTTGAAGCTTTCCCTCCTTCCATGAGATGCAGGGTTGACTAAAGGCACTTGCACAGTCTCTTTAATGGAGGGTTTTTTTTCCAGTAATGAGGTAGGAATGTGCTGTCTGCAGTGAAGTCAGGGCGCACGTGCCTCCAAAGGGAGCTTGCAAGACTTGCCCTGCAGTTGTGGAGGAACAAGTGTGAGTCATTAAACATTTCCCCCCACACACTGGTTTGTTCGCTGTGTGTGATTCTTAAGCTTGTTTCGACTCGGATGCCTTGGCAGCGATTAGGCCAAAGCTTAGTGGCTGCAAATGCCTGACCGTCATCGGAAAGGAGAGCAGGATCCCAACGGGTGGCAGTAAGTGCTCGATGGATCCCATCTGCAAAACTCACCTTTGCTGTGCATCTGTCCCTGGGGTCTCCAGGCTTGCCTTTGCTTGACCAGCTGCCAGCTCTTTTTTGAAGATACTGAAGGTACTGAGGATGCTTTTGTATTGCAGCTGCAAGTTTTAACCCAGCGGGGCTGGTGAGAGAAGCCAAATTAGAGGTTTGGGTGGCTTGCCTGCTCTGGACCGCAGGCTCCCTGGGTGATGCTCCAGTCAGTACGTGAGCCGGGTTGGTTGCAATCTCGCACGTATGATTCTCAATGCAGGAGTTTACTCACCAGCCCCAGCCATAGCAAAATGTGCTGCCAGACACACGATCGGGAACATGTGTGTGCCAAATACGTGCTTCGTAGCCAGCTGAGCAAATATATCACATTGCATTCGAGTATCTGTTATCACAGCTGTCCCGGGCGCGCTTTCCAGGCCAGCTTCTGACTGAGACCTCCAGCTTGTGGGCTCATAGCTGAGTCCAGCAGTTGCTGGTGGGCCAGCAGCATGCCAGTGTTGGGCTGTCTTGCTCATTGACTTCTGAAAAAACAGATCTTTGTGACAATTTAAGTACGAGGCTGAGTCTGTGGCTAGGGAGATAGAGAGAGACCGACTGCTGAAGGCAGTAGACCGGGGGAGAGCCAGCAACCGATGTAAGCTCTTTATTTAGGATTAGTCCTGATTCACAAAATGTTGGCATGTGTCCAGGTAAATACAGTATATGTGCAGGCAGGAAACTACCGCTGTAATCCAGGTGTTGAACAAAGGTATTTCGCAGGCGTTAACTGTTTCCTAGCCCAGCGCGTGGGCACGGCCGCCCAGCAGACCCTGGGAGAGAGGAGGGACTTGCCCTGTGCTCCAGCCAGCTGCGTTGCAGCGACGCACCTATCCCAGGCGTCTCGCTGCTGCGTGGTCTCAGCTGTGGCTCACGCTTAAAGCGCATGTGCCTCTAAATACTAATGGATTACTTGTCGGTACAGTTGAATACAGAAGTGTCACCTGAGGGAATAGTCTGCCTTTTGGAGCCTTTTAAAATGCTCTTCAAAATTAATCTTTCTTATATAAGAAATACATTTAAAAAAAAAAAAAGGGAATGACTGTAATCTTTGTTATGATGAATGGTGTAGGTTTGACATTTGAGAAGAGGAAGGAGTAATTTGAAAAAATCAGAAAACTTTTAACTTAAAATCTCTTCAATCAGCTGAGTTATTTCAGAAGGAAGGTTGGGGGGGGGCGGGAGGAGAAGAAGATGTGGAGTCAAAAAAAGTGACTCAGTTGCCATTAATCAAGTCTGAGTAAATCATTAATGTTTAGTTCCACAACAGATCCTCCTAAGGTGGCATTGCATAGGCTGGCAAGATGTCCTTTGCCGTCAGGAGACACGGCCTCTGGTCAGTCGTGCAAGGACTGGCTCTTCGAGTATGGCATCGACCTGCCGCAGAGCAGCTCGCCCCAGGGCCCTCCCCGGGGACGTCGGGGGAAGGAGACCCCCGGGCAAGGGGAGGACGCGTAGTTCTGCAGCCTGGCTGGGGCACTCGGCTCTCTGTTGGGCGATGCTGTGTTTTGTTGGTGTGTAATGGTTGGTCCAGTCTCTGCTTTGGATCATGAACCGCTGGGTTCCTCCGTTTTTAATTTCCTTTTTTCTCTCCAGGCGTCTCGGTGCTGAGCTGGGGAAATCCGTGGTGTACCAGGAAACCAATGGAGGTAAGAGAAATCTTTACTATTTGCAACTGTTTTGAAGTAATCTTAGAAATACTGGGTAACTCCATCGACCAAACCTGTCTAATAAGTGCAGTGACTCAGCTGTGATGTTCCTGCTGCTCCTGGCAGTGTTAAACCTCTGTGTCTGACCTTGGACGAAGCAATTAAACGTGTTCCTTGTTTTCTCCTGTTAGCTTGTTTGTCTGCCCATCAGCTAACTCTCATCTAAAGGAGAGTCCTGCCTCGGGCGTTAGCTGCTGCAAAATCTTACACTCTCTTGTGCTTAGCAGAAGTCTCCCAGGTTTAAAAGCAATGGCCCGCTTTCTAAGCGTCTGCCTTGCAAACTTTTAAATGACCCCCTTCTTCCAGCCCTCCCCTGCCACAGGCAGTTTACAGCTGCCCTAGCAAGGACCTGTCCTCTTGCTTTAAAGAGTGCAGATTGGGGGCTGTGCTGGGGAGCGTGCCTCTTGGAGCTTGCTTTCATCTCTTTAAATGCAGCAAGTGTCCATTTTCAGATGCTGGGCTAAAACACAAGGATGTTGGCTAACAGAATTCAGTAGCTGAGTCATTTACTGGTTCAAGACCTCGGTTACCTTATTTGCAGGAGAGACTAGAACGAAAGAGCTGATACAGGTGAGAGGGAGGGATGGAAAGGGCGCTGGCTCGGCGTGAGGATTTATGGTAGTGCTGCTGCTCCTACAGCCAGAGCAGGCCACGCGGTGCGTAAGCTGCCGTGGTTATGGCTGGGGTGGCTGTTGTGTTTCGCGCTAGTGAGAGCTCGCTGCCCCTTGGGGTTAGTTTTAAATCAGGTCACTTGCTACAAGGTCTGAAGTCGTTCCTCATCACTGCACAGCAAATCAGTCTGCTTTCAGCAGAGTCCCTTAAGGTTGCTGCCGGTGCCCAGGCAATTAGACTTCGATTTTGGTAGCCGGGTAGATATTTCTCTCCTTTCACTTATGCCTGCCCTCTAGTTCACAACTGTTAAGAAATGAGTGGCGAAGAGAAGCACCTCGGGAAACCTGGTGTCATTGCTTTGGCTTTGCAGAGCTACTTTGGGGCTTGGCTTTTGCATTCGAGTCTGGGACTGTAGGAATTGTGTTCAGCAGAGACCCGGGTTTCCAGCTCATGTCAGTGTTGAAGTGTCTTGACCTTGGTAGTGAAGTTGGGGAGTTCTGTCTCTGAACTCCGTGTTTGGTGTTGCCTTGGGCTACCCAGCCTGCGTGGAGCTGACCGGGCCATCGAGTACTCGAGGTTGTTCTGCTTTGGGTGGTTCGTTGTGCACTAATGAATGTGGTATTGGCAGCTTTCAGCGCTCAGCCTGGAGAAGTGAAAAGGATTCTCATTGAGAGTTAGGTAATTGTCCTCTTCGTGTAAGAGAACAGCTATTCGGCCTGGTTTTGCATTGCGAATACAGCTAACTCACTGGTATGTCCTGCGAGCTCTTCACTTCTCAAGACCAGGCTTTGGAGAATCCGCTTGGCTTATCTGCGTGCGCGTAGTGGGTGTATGTGCAGAAAGGGCAAAGGAGCAAGCGCTCGTCTGCCCTGACCAGTGGGCAAAGCTGCTGCTAAAACGTGGTGTGTTATCACTGTAAATCTGATGTTTGGAAACAAAACTGACTGTGTTTTCAATCCTCTTCAGAAACGAGAGTTGAGATAAAAGAGTCCGTCCGGGGACAGGATATCTTCATTATACAGACAATCCCCAGGTAAGGGACTTGTGGCTCAGTTTTACCTCTGTGATATGCTTTGAATTTCTGGTTTAGCAGATTGTTAGATGGGTTTGCTCGCCGTTAGCCGGCACGATAACTGGTCTCTTTCCAGTGTTGTCATTGCTTTGCCTTACATTTAGGACACCACATAGTGTTAAGCTGTTAACATTCCCAGAGGATCGCTGGTGCCACAGCAAACTGAGAAGCTTCCCGTCAAATAGCTGAAGTGTGTCACTTGAGGCAGGAACAAGTATGACTGATGGCTTCAAGTGGAACATCCCTGGTCTGTGTGTTGGTGTCCTTGCAGGCTCAGTTGCTCGGTGATTTCTGACTGGCATTTCTATTTCAGGATGCGTAATTTCCTCTGCCTTCCAATTAGCAAGCAGCAGAGCCAGCAACCAACAGCAGCTATTGCTTTCTTGACGGGCTGGATTACTCTTCCCCTTTCACTGCAGCGATGTGAAGCTGAACTCAGGTGGAAGCCCGTAGCTTCCCTCCTGTCCTCTTACAGTTCTTAATGATGTTGGGTCTTTTCTTAAGTGAGCCTGTTTGGTTTTTATTTTGGGCTGTTCTAGCCTTGGAGTAAGAGGAAAAAGAAGTGCTGTGAGTAACCAGGGGCCTAGAACACCAGCTGCTAACACCGGGAGCCTTGCTGCTCGCTGGCTGAGGAAGAGCGTAGCGAGATCGCACTAGGGTGGTGGTACAAATGATAACTGCAAAATGACCAACTACGAGTAGGGGAGGTGCTGTTTTCAGAGATGAGGTATTGATAGGATGCCTTTTGCACAGTTAGCAAAACAAGGATATTCCTGATCTGATAGCTTTTTCCAAATACCAAATTCTGCTCAGATTTTGGAGATCACAAGAACTAATAAGTACCAGAGCTCAAGCAGGTAGCAGAATACCCTTGAAACAGAATTTTTCCTTGCTTGCCAAAGAAACAGAGCCCAGTGAGAATTCAAGTTCATTTCCTCTTTGTAATGCTCAGCCCGTTGTTAAAGAGATCAGTAGGGCTACGGGCAGCTTGCTCACTTCTGGAGTTCCTTGTGCAGGCTGAGATGTTTTCCTAGAGCTCACCTCTCTCCAGAGAGATGCTCCAAGTGTTCCCTCCCTCAGGGAGCAACTAAATCTCCGCAAGATGAAAATCCCCTGGTGCGGGATTATGTTTCGGGTGAATAGTGCCATTCTGTTGTCCCCTGTGAGAGAGTTCTCTGAAATAACTTGTGACTAAGAGCTGTGTAAACATAAAACAGATAAGGTGTTCAGAGAGAGATAACTCATAGCATTAGAGACAGCAATAGTTTCGGTAGGGGAAAACCTCCCCTGCTTTTAACTTGTCGATCCCCTTGTTTTTCCATAAACTGAATTCAGTGTTGTGGGCCAAGAAACAGATCCTTTTTAGCCAAAATGTTCAAGGCCCTCCAGGTGAGGAGCCACCGTTGTGCAGCCAAGTCATCTTTTATTCTTAAGCTGCAGCTGTGCCTTGATGCATTGCTTGAGAGGGCAGGTTCAAGGGCATCTCAGTTTTGCAGAGGGTTTCAGGGAGCTTTTTAGGAGAGTAAAAACAACAACTGTGTTGGATAATCTGAAAATAGGACTTCCGCGCTCAGTAGCAGTTTGAAAAGCAAACAAAATATTAGGACTTAGTAGGAAAGGAGTAGAGAGGGAAACAACCTTGTTATGCTGCAGTGTGACTTCACAGTCTGCATCTTAAATGCACAGAGAGAGACCAGAAAGACCTGAATATTTGATACAAGCTCCCTGTCCAAAAAGCCTATAGCAGAACTAAAAAAGTTACAAGGAATGGGTATCATCCAAGACTGTTGGTGTGTGGACTAGCATTCGTATGAGGGAAAACCAAGTAGCTCGTGTTTAGACTGTAGAAAAACGAAGGAGTTGGTGGTTTAGTGATACACTAAAAGTGAAAGGAGTCTTTTAGTGCTGAGTGTTGGTGCTGGTTGTTGCAAAGTCGATTGGCAGCTTCATGTAAGCCATTTGCTCAGCCCCGAGAACGGGGATCTCCATGGATGGCTCGGGCAGGGATGAGGAGCAGCGAGGGAGGCTCGGGGCTGCTGGCGAGGGGTGGTAAGTAGGGCGTGGGGGGATAGCTGAGCTGGCTCTAAATGTCCTGGGAATGAGCTGACGGGGCCTGTGTGCGGTCTCGGCTCAGGCTCTCCAGCAGTACCTGGGAGCACGGCTTCAAGGCAGGAGGCAGGGAGGGCAGCAAGGAGACCGGGGTGCTCTCCTGGGTACCTGTTTTGGAGCTGCAGTGGCTGGGGTTCCGCTGCGGATGTTATTTCCCCCGTTAGTCCCCACCCCGGGCCGTGCCCTTGGCTCAGGTCAGTGCCCCTTGCGGAGGAGCGGATCAGCGTGACGGCTGGCTCAGCACGGAGCATCCAGGAGGGCGCTTCTCGCCTCGACAAGCCCCTCTGGACAGATGCGTACGCCTCTGCCTAGTGCCTGTCTGCAGGAGCTTCCCAGAGTCCAGCGTGGGGTCCTGCTGGAATATTGAGAGAGGTGTTCCTCCTCCGGTAATTTCTCCATCGATATGGCTGCCAGTGTCTCGCAGCAGCAGGACTGCTGGTGCTTTTTGAAATCAGTGGTAATCCTTTCTCCCAGGAGCGGTCTTGTTCTCTATCTATTTTCCATGTGAATATATATATATATTTTTAAAGAGTAATTTGAAAAATAATGATGGAAAATATTGAATTTCTGGGATGAACTTTAAATAGACTGAAGCTTGGCCACTTTGTTATTATACAACACTGATAGTAGCATCTTTTTCTCCTCTCATGGCCCCACTGGCACAGCTAAAACACCAAAGGGAAGAAGCAGCTCTTTGTTTGCTCGTTGTCCTACGTGGCAGGGGGCTATGTTTTATGTAATTCTTGGCTGGGTGCTTCACAGCTAACAAAGCTGTCTTGTGTGCAAACGGCATTGTGCGCGAGGGCTGGCGGGGCCAGCGGGAGAGCAGAGACCCAGAGCGCTCGCAAACGGAGAGGCAGAAACGGAGGTTAATTTCCGAAGGAAGGGGGAGCAGTGGAGAAATGGAAATGGTTAGAGGTTTGTCACGGGTGACACGGACAGCAGCTCGGAAAACGGTGTCTGAGCTCTTGGGGAAGCCGTCCCTGGTGGTCAGGAGGAAAACGGGTCCTCGAGCAACATCTGGGTAACGTCCAAAAAAGCTCTGCAGAGCTCTAAGCTGCTCTGCGCTGTTTATTCCTCTGCTGCTGTGTGGAAAGATGGCCTGGTCAGCCCCTGCTCTGTCACCATGGGCTCCACGGCTGAGCCACCGCCAGCGTTGCCCTCCTGGGGACCAGTCTGGGGAAGTGGGGTGTTTTACGTGTTTTCCTTGCTGTGGTCTGCAGATATATTCTGCCTATGTTGCTTTTTTGTTTTTTCTTTCAAGCAACAGTCATTTAGCAATTACTGTACTGTTGTTCCTTCCATCTCTAGATAAGCTAGATAGCATGGAGATGCTGACCTCCGCCAAAGTAATGCGTCTGGACTTTGTACTGCCCCAGAATGCAGTATTTCTTAAGGCAGGAAAAATAACCTGCCTTACGCTGTTAAAAATAAAAATAGCCTAATAAATCCAGTGTGGATGAAGTTGTGTTGGCTGCATGTGTGCTGCTTCTTTAAAAGCAAAATATGCTGTATGAAGTGACATTTGTTCCAACATAAATGAAAAAATGCCTTTTTTTTTGTTGTGGTGATGGAGGGAAATCATCGTACACCTTATGTTAGAACACAAAATCAAATTCCGGTCCACAGGTCTTGAGTGCTGGAGTTGTGTCCTGTGCATGTAACAGCTGATTGTAATGTGCTGTGGCATGATGGAAGGAGCTATGTGATGACAATCTGGGTCTTGCATACATTACCATAAGATGTAGCATTATTTGCTTGAAAGTTTGATGAGGAGAGGTACGGTTACAAAAGGAAAAGCAGTTGCATTGCAAAAACACCTACTAATATTGGGAATGGCTTTCAAATCTCCTAGAGATGTGAATACCGCTGTCATGGAGCTGCTGATAATGGCGTATGCACTGAAGACTTCCTGCGCCAGGAACATCATTGGGGTCATCCCTTACTTCCCCTACAGCAAACAGAGCAAAATGAGGAAGAGGGGCTCTATAGTCTGCAAGCTGCTGGCTTCGATGCTCGCCAAGGCAGGTGAGTGTCGCAGGGAGCAGCAGCGTGGCGGGCCCGGACGCTGCAGTGCATCCGGCTGCTGAGCGTCCCAGAGGGCGTCTGTCCTTCTGTTCTTCTCCCGTTCGATGTGGAGATGTGCTGCTGAGCCCTTGAGCCACTTTGGGGGAATTCATTTTCTTCCGCTTAATTTTATTTCTTTGTAGCTCGTACCTGGGGAAGTGGCCTAGAAGTGTCATAGTGAAATACAGTGTCAGCCTAGTGCTGTGGCTTATCGCGTGCCTGTTTCTCATTATGTCTTTGGAACTTTTTACATTAACCTGTTCATGCTTGTTTTATCACATGGCATAATAGTCTGAGTAATAGCTAAAATAGTCTGGAAAATGGAGATACTTGAGGAACTCCAGCCATGTGCGAGTCATCTCAATGAATTGTTATCTTTTTTTTTTTTCCCTTAGGTTTAACACACATTATCACTATGGACCTTCATCAAAAGGAAATTCAAGGCTTCTTCAGCTTCCCAGTAGACAACCTGAGAGCATCCCCTTTCTTGCTTCAGTATATACAGGAAGAAGTGAGGTTACTCTAGTTCTATATATCTCAACTTGCCTTAACTCATCTTAATGTGATAGTGGCTCTGGGCCTCCGCTTGTGCAGAGGTTGTGTTGCCAGGCTAGGTCACTTGTCCTGTTAATGAGTTCCTTCTAGGGGGTACCTGCTGCATGTTTCTTAGGAAGGTGGGAAAGAGTTAAATTGTATGATTGTACCTGGGTAGAAATGGAACTTGACCGTAAGCGGAAGATGAGCTTGCTCTCTGTAGAGTTAGTGCCCTTAGAGATGCTATTTATGCTCCTGCCTCTAATCACCTTTTAAATCCTGTTAAACTGTCTCCCCTCCCCCTTTGTTCTGCGGTGGATGTCTGACTGCTCTGAATTATTGATAGACTTTGTCTTGGGCTGAGTGTAGGAATGCTGAGCACAGCAGGTTTGGGGGCAGGGCACGGAGGTTTTATTTTCCATGTGCAAAAGATGATGATTTATGCCCACACGGTGCGAGCAAGGCTTCCCCGTGCCCTGTGTCTCGGACAGCTGCGCTCAGCGCCTCAGACCAGGCCAGAACTTGTGGGCACCAGCAGGGAAGGAGGCCGAGAGCTGCAGTCCTGTGCAGAGTTGGACCTGCAGTATTGCCTGCACTAAACTAATTTGTGTTGCATTTGGGGTCGAATACACAAATACTGGTGTTGAAAATGAGTGCAATTGCCTCCCTAGTTTCTTGCCACAGAATGAAGATTTGGGTCTGGGGAAGGAGAGTGGGTGTGATTATTCAGCCATGTGTCAAATCAGTTACTCGCTAGCAGGAAGGTCTTTACTTAAATAACTTTTTATCACATCCAGATTCCAGATTACAGAAATGCAGTTATTGTAGCCAAATCTCCTGATGCAGCTAAAAGGTAAATGGATGCTTTACTAGCTGGTTAAAAGTAACTTGGAAAAGATCTGGGCTGATGGGAAATACACCAGGAAAAATACGGGAGGGTCGCAAATGGATCAGCAGTCTGATCCGCAAGTCCTTTGTGGCTGGAAATGGGATGGGCGTCTGTAGTGGTGCAGATGGGCAGCTGAATTTTGCAGTCCCAGCCCTGTGGGAGTAAACCTGGGAGGTCTCTGCTGCTGCAGAGCTAGGCGGTTTGCCTGGGGCCAGGATCAGACTTGCTGCATGAGTTTCAGCAGTGCCTGACTGTCTCAGAAAGCATTTAGCATATGGAGGAACACCGGGAGACCCCCCCTGTGGCAGAGCCAAGGGGTAGAGTGGGCTTTGGGATATTAAGGAGGAGTGAAAAGTCGCTTCCAGTGAAGTTTCTTGGTGGGGGCCGGCCGCAGAGGTGCAGCTGTTGCTTGCCCTGTTGGGTCTGGGAGAGGCTGCTGCACTGGGCTGTGAAGTTGCATCGGCCCAACATCTCCCTGACATGCTGTGGTTGTCCTGCAGAGCTCAGTCCTACGCTGAGAGACTGCGGCTGGGACTAGCAGTGATCCACGGAGAGGCTCAGTGTACAGAGCAGGACATGGATGATGGACGTCACTCCCCTCCGATGGTCAAAAACGCAACTGTGCATCCTGGTCTAGAGCTGCCGTGTAAGACTAAGCTTCTCTGCTTACCTTTGGGCAAAAAAAAAAGCAAAGTTTGGTGGGAAATTGCTGTTGGTTTAGCTGTGTCGGTATAACCAACCTAACGGCAGTTGGACTAGTGGAATTTTTCTCATGGAAAGGTTGGTATCAGCGAGTTGTAGACGAAGGTACAGGGGGAAGTTTTTATTTAACTCTTTCTGGCCATGCAGAGCATCGGTATTCTCCTTGGCTGTGTGCACTCAACAGTGTCAGACTGACGAACCTCTGATAAAGGTGGTGCTTTTACAGCGCTCGGCAGCAAAACTCGTTGAGCTAATGAAAGAGAAAAGAAATGCAGAAGCGTAACTAACATGGGAACAGCCGCTGAGACAGGCTGCTGTCCCCAGCCTGGAGGGGAGGGCTGGCCTTTGCCTTCCCCCCCTGCTGCAGCCATTGTTACTGCTGGAAATTTTCTTCATCTTGGCAGGCAGGTGATCGTGTTCCAGTGTCTGTTTTGACAAGGTTTTGAGGTTTGTGTGGCTAGGGTGAATACGTTCTTCAAGAGCATTGCTGAGCTTCTTCCTGTGCTCTTGCCATCGATTGATAAGCTGCTGATGTGGGAGCACAGAGCAAAGGAAAAAGGAGGAAACCTGTGTTCTAGGAAATGCCGTCCTCTTAGGATTGCTTGTGTCCCTGCAACAGCAGCAGTCAAGTAACAACAGTACAATCAAAATCCAGCTCCCTCTTAGGAGGATTTTAGCTTTCTAGGTAGATGGTGGTAGGACAGAAATAAAGCGCAGTGCATGTGGCCGAGAAGTGACGGTGGGAAAGGATGCATGCTGCTGCGTGTGGTAAGGAGCTCTGTCGTGCAGCGAGACTTGACTATACCGGCAGTGGCTAGGGCTACTGATAAGCGTCTCCTCTCGTCTTTTGAAGTTTAGGGAGAACACCCAACCAGTTTGTGGGCAGGTCGTGGAGGGGAGGCAAGTAAGACCGCAGGCATTTTACATTACCCCAGTCATGGCCCGCTGTAATACAATCAGTTAAACAATGCTTATGTTGCTGGTGAAACTCCTCTTGGGCCTTGGGGGACAGGTGGGGTTTGGCAGTGAAGTTTGTGACTTCATCTTGATTCTTCCCCTTCTGACAAAGGGATTTGTTCACGTCCTTCCAACAAGACAGGAATTTGCATGGCTACTCTTGGCCTTTTCCTTCCTCTCCTACTCTGAAGAGGATGCTGTCCTCCAAAATATCACTAGCTGACATTTGCTTGCTACAGGGGCATTAGTGCAACTGTATTTTTATTTCCAACCGTGTCACTGCTGGAGAGCCCTGTCACTGGTAGCTCGTACAGAAACGTGCCTTTGTCCAGTTTAGTTGTGATTCCAGTGGAAAATTGTTTTCAGGCCTCAGCTATCCAAACACAAACTAATTTGCTGCGTATCGCCACTTTCTTATTTTATCTCCTGCAGAAACTCAGCACTTGACTACTGACCTTACATTCCTGCGTGCCTAAGGCACAAATGTGAAACAATCAAGCTGTGGCTTGGTAGCTGTCTGTCAGTGAGATGTGGGGTGGATTGCGGGGCAAACTTGTCCAAAACTCTCAGTGGAAAGTTGCTTTGCTCTCCAGTTTTCTAATCTGATAGATACCTGGGTTTGAGTGAGCCGGGCTGTTGCTGGAGGTGCAGAATACAGAGGTAATATCTGTCTAAAAGCAGTCTGTAAGCTTCTAGTGCATCCTGGTTGTGTCGCAGCCTCTGCCAGACAGAGGTGAAAACGCAGCTAGGCTTAGGGCTGGCAGTGCTATGAGTGTCTGTACTTGCCCTCTCTGCTACACCTCCTTTCTTGTCCAATTCAGTCCTTTGAAAAGTGTCTTCCTATCTCAAGTGGCACATCAGACAAAACCCTTGATCAGCTCTTCCTGCCGTGTGTACTGTCACCAGCAGCCCCGGTGGTGTGAGGTCTGACGGCAGAGTGAAGCAGGGTTCGGTTGTGTCCCTGTATTGTTGGTTGTGAAAGGTAGGACACGTGCTACTCACCCAGAGCTGTATGCTTCCTTACACCAAAACTGGCCAGAAAAACCTCTGGTTGTCAAAACAGAACCGGTTTCCAGGTCTGCCTGGCTCAGCTACCACAAACCTGGGTCGGGGCAGTTGGAAGGTGGGGGTGCTCCTGCAGGGCGGCGGAGGCTGACCTTGGGGCATCCTGCTCCGGGCTGCAGCCAGATCGCTGCGGAGCATCCCATCCTCCTCCCCAGACTCTGCAGTTCAGGGTCCTTGGTGGTTGTTACAGCCAGAAGAGAGGCGAAACCCATGTCTGGGAGCAGCCCCAGAGCCCTGCAGCGATGACTTACGCTTTATGCCATTCTTCGTGGGCTTCCTAGTGAATTGGCTGCGCTCCTGTGTCCTGGCATGCACCTTTTCTCCCTATTCTAGTAGAGATCATGTGCCTTTAATTAACGAGTGTTATGCAGTGTAATGGTTTATTTATTGTCCCGAGAGTGTAGCCTTATGTGATGCTCTGGTGTCGTATGGAGCCGTAACAGAAAAATGCCGAAGGTGCTTCCAATAGCACTTCTTAAAGTTGCTCTGCTGAAGCGGCAGCAACAGTTCACATCGCTCAAACCCCAGAAATCGGAGCCTTTGAGACAGGACGTCGCTCCGAGGTTATTCTCTTTGATTGGGTGCTCTTTGTGTCTCAGAGCTTGCAGCTGTGCTTGAACAAATGCATGTGGACTCTTTGCATGTTCCCTGGAGAAAAGGAGTGGAGCACCATCTGTTAAATCATTTCAGCGGCTCTGAAATTCAGTGCTTTATACAGATAGCTAATGGTCTGCTTCAAACCCAGGCCCAGGGAACTGCCGCGAAGGAAGAGTTTGGGTGGAAAAACTGGAGTGATCGTAGGTCCATTCCTGATTCCCTGCCCCTGCCTCTTGCCTGTGTTCAGGCTGGGCGCGGGGATGTTAGCTGTCCTTCCAGGTCTCTCGCTTCACAAAACAGGTTGTTCTTGAGCAGCCTTTTGCTCATAGACTCCGTTGTAAATGCAGCATTATTTTTCTGGGTGATTATCACTTCAATGCACACTGTCAGCTCCGAACAGAATCCATTGTAGCATTTCTTAATCCATTTTTGACCGCTTAATTAAAGCAACAGGTTTATGCACCTGGGAATGCTGTTTCTTTGTGCCAGTGATAATCTTGCCTTTAACACGTGGTGCTTTGGCATTTATTACTCACACCAGAACCAAAGTGCAGATTGGAGTGTTTGGCTGGTGAACTTATTTCCTCACCACGCCTCAGTGTTCTTTGGTGTCCTTGTTTTATAAAAATGGTGGTTGGTTTGTTTTTTTCCCTTTTCTTTATTCCCCCCTCCCCCCAAGCTACAGATACCACGAGCATCTTTTCTGACTCTCCAGAGAAGAAAAAAACAGCGACTCTCTTAGCCTAAACTCGTACTTAATCCAAGGGGTTACGCCAGGCAGAAGTACAGCTGTGGCTTACTTCTGTTGCCCTCTTTTGTCTACATACAAATAGAGGTTTTGTGTCTGGGAGAAAAATGTTCTTTATTATTTGAATCATTTTTCAAGCCACCTTCTCGTAGCAGTTCTGACTTGCGCATGCGTCCAAAGATTTTGAAGAAAAAGAAACTGGCCGCGGTAACCCTTGCGTTGGATCACATTGGAGCAGTTCTCTTGAGATTTGATGTGGTTGTGGGTAGATCTTTGCCTTCCAATTTTTTCTTTTCTTTGCAGAGGAAATTGAACAAGAAAAAGGGAGAACATCTCTTTAGGATCCGGGTAGGTCGACGTGTTGCCTACCATACTTTAAAAATAAAGCGAAATTAAAATACAGCATTTAAAAACAAAGAGATGCGAAGCACTGCTAATGTTGCTAGCTGCTGTGTTAGCCTTTAAGCATAGCAAGGAGCGTGTCTGCTTCCTTTATGGAACAGAAGGATACTGATTTGCTGAAGCTTCATGTGTTTGTGAGTAAAATAGTGCTGAACTTTAGCTCCCGAGGCCTGTTCACCATTTGCTTAGGAAAGTTTCTTTTCCCTAGCCTGGCTGTTGTAAGCAGACACGGTACTCATCTGTGGATGCACACTAAGGATGGGATGGCAGCCAGATGTAATCCTTCTGGTATTTCACAGCTCCCACCAGGAGTTTTGTTACTGTCCAAACTAGATAATAAACTAATAACTAATCTAAGCAGGTAGGTAGTGCCTGTAATTGAAATTTATGGTCTGCTTATCTCTTGTGACACTTAATCCTAGTTCATTACAAGTACTCTCCCTTCTCATAAGGATATTTTTCCCTTCAGGATTTAGACGTGACTTTGCATTTGATAGGAGACTCAGAAATAACAGCGCAAGGGAGGCTGGGGAATCTGTGCTCCAAAGAGCAATTAACTCCCAAGTCCAAGGTAGCTGTGACTTTAACTGCAAAACCTAGCAATGACTGGTGTAACTTTGGTCAAAACAGAGCTATGGGACACCTTTTGTACCGTTTGGGTAGGCTTACGGAAAACCCGTCCGTAGGGTAGGTTGTGTACATGAAGAACAGTTCTACACATGAATCTTGGGAGCTGTGGTCCTTATAATTGCTTTCATCGCATCCCTCAGCCTGACTCGCTCACCCAGCAGTGCTTGCACTCTGAGCGTTCCCAGGCACTGAGGAGCTGTGGGAATAGAGCTGGATCAGCCTGCTGTGCAGGATGGGGAGTTCCGTGTAGGACTTTTTTGACCCAGGAGGGCAGAAATCAATATTCAGACAGGCTTTTTGATGGGCAATGGCTTGTGTTCTCATGCTGCTCGAGTATTATATTGAAGTAGGTTATCTTAAAGGAGAAAAATCTTGCCATCTAGGGTGTCCAAAACTCCTCGGCACTTGAGAAGCCTCTGTGGCCAGAGTGCTGGCAGGACTTGAGTTTATGAAGCGGAGGGGTACAGGTGCCTCGGTAGGACACTTTGCTGCACTCCCCGTAGAGAGCTTAAAATCCGGGGGGGGTACAGGTGGGCCAGGTAAGTGTTACAAAATGCTGGATGTTCCTCTTTGCTTCAGTGGTTAGATCAGCCCAGATTATCGCCTAACGACACGTGCGTGCCCACCACCGCGTCCTTTCCGTGCTGGGAGTTTTTGTACTGCATTCACTGTATCAGCCAGCACCCTCTGGCAAGGGAGAGGTTTGGCTTAGCCCCTGGCCAGTACCAAAGGCTGATTGCTGTTTGGTGCGAGTCTGAAGGCTGTGTTACATCTGGACGCTCTCAGTGCATCCTAGTCCATATCCCTGTTATTTTTTTATACTGCTGCTGGAAGTTTTTCAGGATAAAGGATAAAGCCTGTTACATATGTGTAGTTTTTGCATGAACTGTGTCAGTGCCAAAGTAGAGTCAGGAGGGAGTGGAACCTGATTTCCCAGTAGATCTCTTCACCATGTGGCAGATAGCACAGCTCATCAATGTATCCTTTTGCTTCCAATTGCTGGTTGCACTGAGTTGTAGAACTGCATTTGAACTGGATTTTGTCCTGCTCTTTCCATTAATCCACTTTGGAAAAAAAAAAAATCAGCAAATTTGCTTCTGCAAACTTCCTTAAGCGTTCTCTGCCTGAGCAGGTATTATTAAGGTCCTTACACCCCCTGAAAGAGCCTTGTGTGTTTGGCGATATGAGAGAAAGCAAGCAAGCCGCAGTGCGAGTCTCGGATCCTTCAGATGAATTAGGGGGTCCAACAGGTGAAAAATTGCACCTTGCAAAGCATATGCCCTTTGAGAGGTCCTGCTCGGAGAAGCCTATTTGTTGTTCCCAATCATGAGGTACCCCTTTTTTTCAAGTCCTGTTCTGGAGCACAAAGAAAGTGACTGACGTGTCCCATAAACGAGGTGCTGCTTTGTAGCTCTCCTTGCACAGGGGTCTGTTAGATATTTGGATTTGCTTACTGTCCCCGAGGTCAGCCCGTGGTCCCCACAGAAACGGAGAGGTTTGTCTTTATGCAGCAGTGCTGTTCATCTGAGGAGGAAAACGATGGTTAAATGAGTGGTTACCCACTTAGGTGAGCGTCAGGACAAGGTAAAGCACCCGGCTGTATCTGTGCACTAATATAAGACGCAGTTAAGCACTGGGCCTCGTGCGTGGTGGAGCTGTTGTGGTTTGACTCAAGGCTAACTGACCTGGGCTTTTTTTTCTTCTTCTTTAGTGATGATGGCCAAGGAGAAACCGCCGATAACTGTGGTTGGAGATGTTGGAGGAAGAATTGCCATCATTGTGGTATGAGCATGATGGAGAGGAGGGGGGCAGGGGCTTCCTCACAGCATCTTTTCTTGAGCTGCTGTGTCCCAGAGGATAGGAGGGGCTCTGGGGGAGGGATGGGAATGTGATTGTTACCACTATTTTCTCCGGTTTTGCTGGTGGCTTTGGTTATTTCAGCTTTCTGTTGAAAACTGTTCGTATTTCAGTGCTTTAAGCCCTGAAATCGCCTTGCTCCCTTCAATCTACAAATGTCAGATGTCTACAAATACTCAACAAATCCAGGACATGCAGAGAAATCTCCTGACGTCTTTAAAAAAACAAACAAACAACCCCAAACAAACAAACAACCCCAAACAAACCAAAACAAAACTCAACCAACCAAACAAAAAAACTTGCTGAGCTGCTGACACTTGCTGTGCCACGCTGCAGTGTAAGTAATCAACATGCAGCTACTATCACCGTGGAAAAAAAAATACCTTGCTGAAGATAAGCTCTGTTTGTGTTTGTGTGTGCACGTGCAGGGACTAATTTGTTTCCGAGACACAATATTTGTTTTGCACGCTAGCAAAAGGGTCCGTAAATTAGGGAAGTGGCATTCACAGATTTAAGTCGTGCAGGTGGCTGTCCTTGCATCTCAACAGCAGCTGAAGTAGCCAGGGATTATTTTTTTCAGCTGTGTGTGTGGCCAAAGCTGCAGTACCTTGCAGATCCACTCCTGCCCTGCAGGCACGGTAAACTTCTGGTTTTGATGTTATTTCTGTTTCTTCTCAGGATGACATCATCGATGATGTGGAAAGCTTTGTAGCTGCTGCAGAGATCCTGAAAGAGCGCGGAGCCTACAAGATTTTTGTGATGGCTACTCATGGGCTGCTGTCAGCAGATGCCCCCCGACTCATAGAGGAATCCTCCATCGACGAGGTGCGTCTTTCTGGATTGTGGAGGGAGGGCTGGCTCTGGTGGCTGGGTTGATTTAAGGCACCAAAACCCACAAACTGATGTTCTTCCCTGCCACATAGCTCATGTCTGAAATGACTGGTTTCATCAGATGCTTTCAGTTAGCTGGTTCGTCATTGGGGAAAAAAAAAAAGCGTGTGTAATTAATACTTGTTCAAATCAGATCTGCTTTTCTGTGTGTGTTCTCTCCCTCATGCACAGATATTAGTCACCCCTGCCCGGACACTTCCCTTGCCGCAGCTGGGTGCGTGTGACTGCTTTCTCACTGTACCGACCGTCTACCTGTCCCTCTCCCCGGCTGATGACGGGCTGTTGGGTACACTAAGAGGACAAGATTTCAAACCTCGCCCTTAGTAACAAACATGTCACATCCTGCGATCTGAATGGACCTGGCAGCCTGTGTGGAGGTGGCTGTTGTAGAGTGCTGGTTATGCCGGTCCCCTCAACAGATTGACTGTCACATGGGGGAGACCATTTATTTTAATCTTTTTTCCTAACATACACGGATTTCTCCCCCTGAACTGTGAAGCAGCAGGCACCCACCGCTTGTGGAGTTAATCTAGGGTGGCTGTTCAGTGGGAGTGAGCGTATCGGCGGCACAACTAATGGTCTCTCTTTTCTGGCCCTCCATAGGTGGTAGTAACCAACACGGTTCCTCACGAGGTACAGAAGCTGCAGTGCCCCAAGATAAAGACTGTGGATATCAGTTTGATTCTCTCTGAAGCCATCCGACGAATCCACAATGGCGAGTCCATGGCCTATCTCTTTCGCAACATCACTGTCGATGACTAGACCTGGCGCTGCCCCTGTCCTGGCTTCCACAAGAGAAAGAAATATGCATGAAAAGGCAATACCATAAATTATAAGCATAACACAACTGTTTATTCTTGTAGGAGCGTGAAGGTTTTCAGGGTCTTGAGCCATGAGATCTAATAGAAAAAATCAACCTGACCAGCACTTTACAGGTGAATAGAAGAGGCCGCTGGCAATGGGGGGGATTACATCTTCATTAAGAGAGATGGAGAAATGAGGTGGTGTTGAAGTTTTGAGTTCTTTTTAATTTTTTTTTTTAGTGTGTTATCTCTTGCCCTGTAGGGAGGGAAAGAAAAGCAAAAAAGAAGTAGCTGTCAGCTTATGAGAAGGGAATAGAGACTGCTCATCGCTGCGTGTGGGCAGCAAGAGGAGACAGCCTTTGGGTTTCTGTTTCTGACTGACTCGCCTGAGCGCGCGGAAGGGCGCGCGTCGTTCAGGCGGCTGGGCAGGACTGCGTGCTGCTGGCAGAGCTGAGCAGCAGGGCAGCTCCTTGCCAGTTGAGTGGCCTCTCACCTCTCGCACAGCGTAGCAAGGACCTTCATGAAAGCTAAGTTAGCAGAACATCCAAAAGGACAGCTTAGGGCAACCCACGCGCAGGGCTGCTCGCATCCTTGCGCGGGGTGCTGGGAACAAGCTCACGTGTGTCTCGCAGCAGGGCAAGGGGTGCTAGTTAACGTGCTGGCATCTTCACTTGGCGAGCCTTGGATCATTATTGTTTTTCAGTGGCAAGTCACACGAGGGTCCAGGTCCTCACTTCAACACTTGTCTGCACTGCAAAGCCAGGCACAATTTCTGGAGTTGCCTGGGGCTGATGAGCTGTGGCAGTCTCGTGGGGACGGGGAGTTGGAACAATGTCTGCCTCTAATGCAGCTGTGCTCTCCGAAACACTAACACTGAACCTGCAATAAAAAGCATAGGATTTTTCATTTTTTTTGTGCTTCCCGTGAACCCTCTGAACGGCTGCTGCGTCTGTGCCGCGGGGCTGCTGCTGTAACCAGGCTCACGTGGTGGCTTGCAGCCTTCCACGGGGAAGCAGGACTCGCTGCTTGCCCCTTTCTTGGGTGACACTAATCCTTGGCTGGAGGGGGCGCTTGAGAAAGCTGCACAAGGTGCTTGTGAAGGGCTTTGTCTCCAGGATGGTATAAGAATAAATTCCCAAACTGTCATCTTGCCCCTTGAGGAGGCCAACAAACACTCCAGTAAAACCCATCCCGCTTTCTAGCCTGATGGCGGGCTGGCTCTAGCAGGCAGTTGTTCAGTTCTGCTTATCCTTCAGCCTCTGCCTACATCCTTCTCATCCACTCCAGCATCTAAAACGTGTACAGTGCCAAGGCGCAGGCAGCCCCTCTGGGAGCAGGACAAGCCGTGAACACCAGGCAAACAAGCGTGCCTGTCCCCTCGCCGTTGAGGCTACGTGAAAGCCCAGAGCGGTTGGGTCATCTCCAGTATCCCACACGGATTAAACCTGCAAGCCAGATCCCACGAGGGCTGTGCAGGGCTGGGGGAGGTCTTAAGGCTGTCGATGGTTTTTCCCCCCTTTTCAAAGTGTTACGAACAAATCGCAGCTGCGCTCTGCGAGCACAGCGTGGCTCCTTGGCGTGGCGGAGCAGTACAGCGCTGTGCTGTAGGCGTTACTGAGCGGGTCGACTGACGGGTGCGGAGGCCTTGCAGGTGTCTGCGTGCCCCCTTGGTCTGAGCCAGTACCGGGCCACGCTCCTCATACTGGAAGCCAGTGTTAAAAATGTGAGCAGTATTGCTCTTCTCTCCCCTTCAACCCGCTTGTCAGACCTGCCAGAAGCAGGGTCAGGGCTTGTCGAGTGCTGTTGCCCTGTTCAGGCTGGTTTCTGCTGGGCTGTATTTGGGTAGAAACCGTGGAAGCATGGCGCCAGCGAGCTGGGGGTTGTGCCGGCGTCCCCTGGGTCCTCCTCGGTTATCCTCGGGCTTCGCCGCAAACCTTGCCCTGAGTAGGAGCCAAAGGCAGGTGGCTAAACTGAAGCCAGGAGGTGTCCACGTCTCAAAATGCCCAACTGCTTTAGGAAAAGTGGTTCCCTGGGTTGGCTGGGACACGGGGAGGTGGCGGGTTGGGGCCGCCGTACACCAGGCCGCAGCAGCCGCCCGGGTTGCCATCGCATCGGCACCGAGCCTGGGCGTTCTCCCTTCCGCCCCAGGATCCCCCCTTGCTCTCGCTGCGCTGGCGCGGCTGCGCCGGGGTGCTCTCAGCTGCTCCTGCGGGCCCCAGCGCTGCCTGGGAAGCCTGGCCAGCCCCGGGCTGCGGCTTGCGAGCTCCCGAGCCCGCGGCTCGGCCCCTCGCTGGGGCTAAGGCTGCGGAGCCCTCGCGGGAGGGCTGGCGTCTGGCCGCCGCGCCTCTCCGTCTCTGCTCCCTCTTTGAATGCGATCCTCCCAGCTTGGGAAAGAAAAGCAGACACAGAGCGGATCTCTGCTTCGGCTGTAATGCCTGAAAAGGGCTCTCGCCCAGCTTTCCGCAGCGAGGCGTCCGGTCTGTTTCCCGCTCGCGCGCCCTCGTCCTTTCCTGGGAATTGTCTCCGGCTGCCGCGCCGAAGGAGGAGGTGTCGGCGCCCTGCCTGCGCGGTGGCCGGACCCGCGGGCCCTGCCTGCGCGGTGGCCGGACCCGCGGGTTTACCGGGGAAGAGGCGTTCTCGTTGATTATTGCAGTAGGTGCTTGTCCGATGGATCACTCGGGTTCAAAGATTTTTGCCATGTCTGGGTGCTTCCGAGGGCTGTCCGGCCGCACGTGCTGGTCTGCCTTGCCTTTTCCCTGCCCGTACGGCTGTGCTTTGGGGCGGGGTGCTGGAAATCCGCGCGTTGGTGCTGTCAGCGGCACCGGTCCCACATCCAAGGGGGAGGGTGGCATCCGTCGCGCTTTCGATACCTCAGGATTAAAAATAACCGGAGGCGCTTCCCGCCGGGGCTCGTCTGCGGGGTGCTTTCAGCCGGGAGCAGGCAGGGATGGTCCCGCTGCAGCTGGCTGCGCCCCTGGCAGGGACACCTCACCCCGCGGGGCCCGCGTTACGCCGCTTCCAAGAATTTGACGTCACCGGTTGCGTTTTGGGTGTTAAAGTGGAAAAGGCGCGGGGGGGCCTCGGCGCCCGCAACGCGGCGTCGCCTGGCAACGGGGGACGCTACGCTAGCCCCGCCCCGTAAACACGGGCACGTGGGCGGCGGGCTCGGCCAATGGGCGACGAGGAGCGGCGGGTGGCGACCAATGAGGAAAGGGAAGGGG